ACCCACGTTTTCAGATACCTAACTCTAAGTCTAATATATCCCATATAGAAAATCCTAAGCACATCGGGTATGATTTAGAGGTCGAGGTACATCTGAATCTTAAAAACCTTAAGGCACCAAATAGCCTAATGTAGGTACTATTTATCGGCTTTGGGACCCAATGTAGGTATTATGTGTAGAGTTTGGGACCCTAAATCCTGAACCCTAAATCCTAAACCCTATTCATAGACCTATCCCAACCCCGACCCAGCCTGGAACTCTGAGGACAAGATTTTGGGCATCTTTGACCGCATTGCCCCGCTTTCAAAGCACGGTGAGCCCGTTCGTGCATCTTGGCTCAGGGTTTAGGGTTTAGGGGTTTAGGGTTTAGGGTTTAGGGGGGGGTCAGGATTTAGGGTTTTGATTGCGCCCAGCCCTGAAGATGGATGCTCCCTGCTTATGCAATCCTGAGGGTCCATTTACCCAGCCCCCTGTTCCCCCCCAGAAAGGCACAACTGATTTCCAGAGTCCACTCATGTCACTTTGAATGTCGTTCTTTCGGACTAGCTGCTATCCTCCCCCAAAGTAACATGCAACCCCAAGGGGGCGATCCATTTTAGTTTTGCGGAGGCCAACTTTAAAGCAACAGTTTAATCCGTTTTGTGCAGTCTAGGAACGGACTATTTTAGGAAGGGTGGGGAAGGGTTGAGTGTTTGCTGTCTTACATGGAGTCTTGGAAATTTTGGCTCAACACATTGGCACTGCTGCACGTTCATTTTACACCTCAACACAGGTAATGCGCGTAGTGTATATACCCCCAGTTTCCATTTAATTTTCCATTTTCTTGTCAATCTGATTCTCCACTATAGGGAGATGATATCCCTAAGCCCTAAACCCAATAACCCCTGCCGGGATTTTTTGGTCTAACAAGCCAGGCGTCAGACCAGGGTTTAGGGTCTAGGGTCTAGGATGTTTCCCTTAAATAAGGGGTACCTTTAAGGGGGATATAGGGATCATGTAGGGTTTAGGGTCTAGGGTGTTTCCCTTAGATAAAGGGTACCTTTAGGGCGGATATAGGCGGGGTTATATGAATGGTGAATACTCGCGCATTAGGCACGAAGGGAAGGAATGCCGTGAGATGTAGGAATCGCGCAACAAAACCCAAAAGCGATAGGACCGCCCCAAAAGCGTCAATCTAAGGCGTAACCATGACTCTGTTTTGGCTGAACCTCCAAAGGCGATACGTTTCTTGTGTCCTACGCCAAAACCCCCAACTGCGATAGGACCCCCCAAATTGTCCATGGCATCGGATTAGACAAGGAGTTTCGGCGAACGCTCATATAGGGTCTAGGGTCTAGGGTGTGTTAACAAAATTAGGGGTACGTTTAAGGGGGATACAAAGGATATATAGGGTTTATAAACCCTACGTAACCCCTATATAGTCCCTGTAGTTGACATTTTCTTTTCCATTCCCTTATAAGGCTTAAGGTTCAGGGTGTGGTGACAGCCCATGACATCCCTCCCCGGTGCTCAACGCCATTGCAAGGTTTCAGAAACCTGTTCCTCCGTCTTCAGTTCCCCAAAGGCAAAGTAGGTATATGGGAACTCCTTTGGGCCCGAAGTATACGATATACCTACATGGGACCTTTGGGTTCATTGAGAACGACAACTTGTGCTGGACCCAAGTAGTGGACTTTCATACCGCCCCAGGCTCTATTGGTCTTCGAGAGATCAACAACGGATATTCTATTCTCCCGGGTTGCAGTCCATTCATAGACTTACTGGTGCTTAGGGCATAAGGGAAAACAAAAAATAACCCCTATATAGTCCCTGTAGAACATGTTCCCTTGTTCTATTAACCCGAAACCCTAACTCCTAAACCTGAAAACCCTAAACCCTAAATCCTGAAACCCTAAACCTTAAAACCCTAAACCCTAAATCCTGAAACTCTAAACCCTAAAACCCCAAACCCTAAATCCTAAAGTTTCATTTGCTAAGGCACTCTTCTGCACCTACATCTTCGGAGCCCTCCTAGTCCTGATTGGAGAGGCCTTTGTCATCTCTTAGCAGGACCTGTATAATCCCACTGTAGTTTAGGGTTTAGGGTTTAGGGTTCTTACATATCATTTGGGGCTTTTAAGCCCAGCCCCTGTTTTGAGTCTTGAGAGACTCCATGTCTTCATGTAGGGATAAGATGCATGTGAAGCTCAAGCGTCGTAGCTGCACAACTCCAACCACTTACTAGTTCTTAGCAGCGAATATTGGAGTATAATCCCTACAAGAATTTCCCTTCTGCCCTACTGACAACCAGTAAGACCACACGCGACAGGGTGGCTCTAGACTCGAAGGTTCCGTTATTAATAGCAGTCTTTTCTGTGCAGAAAATGGAAGAGGGGATCAATAGGGTTTATGGTTTAGGGCCCCCCTAGTAGAGCCGTCTCGAAAACGACTTTTTTATTTGTTGCTTATTGTAACCCCTAAGAGGACACTGAACTCCATGCCCGGGAGGGGTTCCAGGGCATATGGCCCTAAACCCTAAACCGCGTAACTCCAGGCCTAGGCTCTGGGTTCAAGCTGTTAGGATTTAGGAGTTTGGGGTTTTAGGGATGCGGTTCTTTCCTTCCCCCCTCAGAATTGTGAATTCCTAGGCCATCGACTATGGGGATTGTATTGGGATAATGGAAAAGAAAATGGAAACTACTATTTAGGGTTTAGGGTATGTTCCCCCATAAGTCGATAGAATATGATTTGTGGTACATTACAATGAGATTCCCATATTCTATCTACTTAATTAAGGGGGACTAGGGTTTTTAAGGATGCAATACTATCCGCCCCAAAGCTTCCCCCCCTTCAGATTTAGAATTCCTAAGCCGTATTAAGGCTTAAACCCTCGGAAGTTACCTTTGGGGGGTATGGTACTATGAACCCTAAACCCTAAACCCTAAACCCCAATTCCTAAACCTTGAGCCCTAAAGCCGAAGCCCTGGATGTGCAGGGATCCGCGCGTTGAAGGAACTTTGTTTCAAACATGTGCTGCGAATAAGGGCCGTTGTACTTTAGTGGGTTTAGGGTACAGGGGTTGAGAGTTTAGGGTTTAGGAGTCTACGGCTCAGGGTTTTGAGGCTAGGGTCATTCTATTTCAGAGCATATGAAGGTCCCCTCAAGCAATTCGGTTCATTTCTGTAGGTTCCTCTGTTGGAACGTTTGGCCGAGCACTGCAACGCTTAAATGAACCAACGTACTGACATTCAGCTCTGTCCACCTGTAGGAGACAGGGGCCTGTATTTGTCAGCAGTCTGACAAGGCACACCTGCAATGAGGCACTGGAAGCTGCTCGAATTGCTTGGGCCCGCACAGGCCAGGACGGTGACGGCAGCGAAGTGCCTGAGAATCCTCAAGAGCTGCGGGACTATTTTGACTCCAAAGTGTGCCTCAAGGTTGCACAGCAAATGCTGGGCACCGCCGGTTACTACCACTTTTTGGACGGGCAAGTCCTTGCGATCGAAGAGTTGGCGACCATGCAGGGATTCAGAATTGGCCAAGTGCTGCTGCAAAGCGTCCTCGATGACTGTCAAGCTGTCGTGGCAGCTTTGCTATCCCGGCGCCAGTCCGTCACGTTTTACGAAGCCTGTGGATTTTCGTTTGTGCCGTTGAGGCGCGGGAAGGCCTTGCTAAAGCAGCGCCAGTATCTCAAGGCAAGCCTCTCCGAGCTCGCTGATGCTGATAGGCTTGAGAGGCATTTAACAGCCTTGGCACGAAGCATTGGCTTCCATTTACCGCTCATGATCAAGGTCCTGTGAGAGGTTGCACCGTGGGCAGCCAAACATCAGCTCATGCTGTGGGCTTCAGAATACCCACAAGTGCCATGGAGATGTACCAACCCCTCAATTCAAGAGTCTTTCTGCTCTCATTGTTTCCTGGCGGTTCGAGGCGCGTGTTGGGGTGGGTGCGTCTGCCGCGAGCTCCTCATGTGCTACATGTTTATCGCCAGCCACGCGATCCTGTAACTCGAACGGCTGCAGAGTTGTCATTTTGCAGTCGGAAAGTCGGGAACCTTGCATTACGACAAGCCTCCGTGGACACTACGCCTAAGGGTCCAAGTACTCAATAGTCGTGATATACTTACCCCAAACCTGTACTACAATTTCTAGTCCGAAGGCCCTAAGTACCCAAGTGCCCAATTATTACATACTTGGATCCTAAACCCTAAACCCTATATACCCCTGTTATATCCCTATTTATCCATATCCCTTTCAAGGGACTCAATTATTGGGCACATGGATTGAAGTCTGAAGGTCAGCCGTAGGGAGTATAGCAGTGCCGACTGTCATGACTCCGTGTCCTGGCCGGGGTGCCGTTAGGAAGGGTGTGGGCCCCCATTAAATCTGAATGTTATGCTTTTACCTGTCAGATCATCACCCTACACCTAAACCCCCCCTGCTTTCTTGCCGCTTCGTCCCCTAGACTGGTCTCCTTAAACCCAAGACCCTGAGCCCCGACTACTACGGTGGATACTAGAAATCCTGCATGACCCTAAGTACCATATACCTTGGGAATTATAGTACGATATAGACTATAGTATATTAAAGTCATGCAGGATCTTTAGTATCAACAGTAGGTCTGTCCTACTTAAATCAAAATCTAAACTCCCAAGTCCCAGGCATGAAGCCTCGCTATCCTGGGTTGCTGCTCAGGATTTCAGACTAAGTTACCACAATATGGGTACATAGGAAACAATACCTGACCAAAAAATATGTAGTGGCCTTTTGGACTATATTTAGGTGTTTTGGGCTATTGTTTTACCTACTTTTGGGGATTCAGGTAAGGTTTCCTAATTATAGTAACGTAGTTTAAGTTCCTTAACAGCAACCCAGTATCAATGGTAATTTCCATTTTCTGTTCTTTTATCCGTATATAACCCCAACATACCGCAGTAGTTTCCATGCTCTTTTCCATGACCCCTAAACCCTAAACCCTAAACACTGCTTGCATCTCAGCTGTCTGGCCGGCAAGTTCGGCAGGTCAACGCCGTCGCACCACTGCTGACCATGTGCCCTTGGCAAGATGGACGGTAGACCTGTTACAGGGGCTTGTACCTGAATCCTCCATGTCTTGTCCTTTTTAACCCTAAACCCTAAAGCCTAAACCCTATAACTGGGACGGAGTCGAATAAAGAGCAGGCAGGCGCGAAGTTCCTGGATTCCCCTAGAAGCTTGGGCCTCGAAGCCACTGCAGTAGCCCAGTTTGCACAGCTCCAATGTTGCATCTTAGTGTTTAGGGTTAGGGCCGTCTAGGGTTGAGGTTAGGTTCTTTCCGTTCAATAAGATGACGAAACAAATGTTCAATGTTAGACCATTCCTGAAGTGCCTGTTGCCTTCTTAGCTTATGAACGGCAGGAAAGAGTACTCAATGTTTCATACTGCACCCTGAGAGTAGCGATCAACCTGCTGTGAAGATGAGCTTCGCACATGAGAAGGCCGGAATCTCTGATGCAGAGGGTGGTTGACACAAGTGACATTGTAGGTAGCGAGCCGTTACCAGCAGGATTGGGTTTTTGTCCGGCGTTCAACGTTCCAGGAAAAAGTGGGGGTGGACCTGAAGGTCCTTTCGAGATAAAATATCTTAGGATTCCTGTAGGTCCTTACCCCGTAGGTCCATACCTGGAAAATGAAAGGAAGTCATGTTCCATCATGTCCATGTTGGGAACAAGAATTTCAATCTCGATCGAGTAACATATGCCTACTTGTGTTCAAACTGGAAGTCAAGTGCAAAGACTAAAGCCTAATCCCAACTATGAGTCTCTAAACCCTAAACCCTGAACTCCAAACCCTGAACGCACTGGAAGTCAACTCAAAACCCTGAACCCAAATGTAAGTCAACTCTAAGCCCTAAACCCTAAAGTCACTCAACGTAAAGTCTACACTACAAGGTCCTGAAAACAATTTTCAATTTCTGTTACTTAGAATCCTAATATGTAGCTGAAATTTTAATTTCTACTGGGTAACCCTAAACCCTAAACCCCTAAACCGCGTGTTTGGCCAGCAAAATCTTCATCCCAGAGCTTTGCATCCTGGGCCCTTGGGGTGTTAGGGTTTGGGGTTTGGGGTTTAGGGTTTAGGGTCTAGGGTTTAGGGATTAGGGTTCAATTAGGGTTGAGGGTCTAGGGTTTATTTAGTGTTTAGGGTTTAAACCTGGTGCAAATCCAATCCCCCAAAGTGAGGTGCTTCTTGGTGGCCTACACCTTTATGAACTTCTCCTGCTTCGTTCTTACCTGGGTGCGATCACCAGGGTTCCGACCTTCAGGCGTGGACTTTGGGTTTGACGGTTCAGGGTTTGGGGTGTCATGATGTTGAAGTGTTGAGCTTGAGATCTCAACATGTACAGCCTGAGATTTGGGGCGCCAGGATTTAGGCCTTACAGTCCACAAGGGTTCTTGCTTTCGGCCTCTGCAAAACATGCAGACAGGTCACTTGCGTATTCCCAAAAGAATTGAAGCCATTTACAGGTGGTCAGTTTCCATAGCGCTCCCAACAGAACTCCCCCTAAGGGTCCATGTGCCCAATAATTTGGTGCTTAGGCTTTTGGTAGTAGCAAGTATGGTACAGGTTTTGGGTAAGTAGGTACTTGGTCCCTTAGGGTCCCTTAAGGCCCCCATAATTTTTAGAAGTGGTATGGAAGGCCCATACCACTTGCTCTAACCACTTGTACCGGGCTTCTAAAGGAGGAATCTGAGGGGGGTTAAATTGGGTTATGTAGGGGACCATGAAAGGGTTTAGGGCTTAGGGTTTGGAATTTAGGGTTTAGGGTCAAAGGGGGTTCTATAGGTAATATATATATCGGGGACTACTGTAGGGGATTTTAAAGTTTAGACTATATCTCACTTGGGGATCCTTATGATGGAGGAGATTCGGCATCACCCGAAGTTCTCCTGTTGCTAGGAGTTTCAGGTATTTAGAGGCCAGGTTTAGGGTTTAGGGTATGGGGATGGTCCTATATTTCCTCCATGAACTATAAGCCGCCTGGCAGTGGGCTGGGCGATTATCGAAGGCGAGAAGATTCAATGCCAACTCTTGCGGTAGCGGTTTCCTAGGAAAAGGTTGAACAATGGGTTTAGGGTTTAGGGTTTAGGATTTAGGGTTTGAAGGTTGAACAATTTTGTTGACTATTGTTACCCCTGTTCATTGTGCAACCTCGTATGAAGCCGAAACAAAAACAGTTCTAACACACTGCCTGCTCTGGACGTGCAGCTGCTTTACTAGCATACCCCAAGATCAATTTCTGACAGTCTTATATTCTGGCATGAGTGGAGAGCACACGCCTGACGTTACTCGATTGACCAAAGACTTGGGATTATGCAGCTACCTTTCCAACCATACCCAGCAATCCTACTGAATTGGGAATTGACATACCCAAAACCCTAAACCCTAAACCCTGACGACCAGCATCCTGGGAAGGAATGTCGCGAAAGCGCTGGAGATGTTGGTACATGTTTACGGGCCTGCTGGGCTGCTCGTTCGGGGTTTAGGGTTTAGGGTCCACGCTGTGAGTTTTGGGCTTCCGGGTTTTACAGGGGTAGCTTCGAAACTACTTCGTATTTTTTATTGTTCTTACTCCCCATAGAGTCCTACTAGGGTCAACATCTAGTTATTGTATATTGTTGTATAGTACCCCCAAACCTACTATGGTGTAGGACGCGCGATGAAGGAGTTTCAGGTGCTGTCACATGGGCATTTCTGAGAACTTTAGACCCAATCACAGAATCCATCGGTACTTCCATGTCTCTAGATATCACTAGGGTCCTGAATGGTTCCCTGTCTTGAGAAACTCCCAGACGCATTGATTTCCAGCTTCTGAGCCCAAGCTTTGCACTGCAGATTCGCAGTTGGGACCTGGCACTATGAGGTGCAGACGTCAGCTTTCGGATTTACTGGGTTACCGTTAAGGAACTTGCAGCAAGTTTTCAATCTGCGGAAACCCGATTTTCTGTATAATATCCATACTATGGTAACTCAACCCTAAACCCTAACCTCTACATAACTTCTCTGACTTCCTTTCTGCTGAACACATTGTGGCACTTGCAACACTCATGAAAGTCCCTGCACAGCAACCTGGCCATGGGTTGTTGCATTGCGAAGGATCTAGCATGCACAGGGCTGTGTGAACAAGCCAGCGAAGCTTCCGAACAAAATGTCACTGTGTGTAGAGGTGTTGTGTCCCTAGGTGTATGTATATATATCTATATGTACATGGAGCCGGTTGGGGTGTGTAGATATTCTAGGGGAATAGCGATGATATGGAAGTTTTTCACACTCATGGATCACTTTTGCAAGCGTCCCGAAAGATTCCAATGTGAGAAGGCTTAGTTTGTTTGAAGCACCGCACGGGGCCTCTCGGGAATGTGCTTCCCAGTCCTGAGTGTTCACAATGCAGGGCTTGGCCGTCCAAACTCGCCGGTGTAGGGTTTAGGGTTTAGGGGCTTAGGGTTTCTCATTGAGGGTGCTTTCTGCAACCAAGCCCTCGGAAGTGCAGGTTGTCAAGTTTGTAGACCTCTTTCTCCAATGCTTCAGGCCTAAAACTGCCAACGATAAGACCAAGCAATTGCTCTGACTGCTACAGACCGGAGAGTCCTTTTAGAGCCCTCATCTCGAAAACCCTAAACTCCCTCAACCCCTCAAACCCTTAACCTACACTTCAATCCTTTAAACGATTTTTTGTGGTAAGGTTCTATCGTATGCCTGTCCATCATGGTCATTGTAAGCCAGTACTGGGCTGTGGGCGTGCTGTTTGTGAGCTTCTGCGCCTCGGCTTAAGGGCTTAAAAGGTTTAGGTTTGTGGGGTTTATACGTTGTTGGGATGTGGGATTTTAGGGTTTGGGTATATAGGGTTGAGGGTTTTCAGTTTACAGGGTTGAGGGTTTAGGTGTTTTTTTGGCCAGTGTTTAGTTTTGAGGATTTTCCGGCTACTTTGCACAGCGTTCAGGCAGACCATACTCTTGGACACTACTCACTGAAATTTGATGAGTCAAAAAAAGGGCTTCAGGAGTTTCAAGCACGAGTCAAAGATCTCGATACCCTAAACCCTAAGCCCAAAACCCTAAGCCCATTTTTTTTAAAAAAACCTAAACCCCAAACTGCAATGCCCGGAAGTACAGCCCTCGGGAAAGAGAGCGTCAACACCCAACCGTTCAGGGTCTACCTGCACCCCCAGAGCATGTAGCATAGCAGTCTGCTAGACAATTGTTGTAGGTGTTCGAACGTTATCTTAGCCACTTTTGAGGTCCAGGTAGTGTTTCTCAATATTCTGCCCATGCTGTGCAATTTGTACTTCGGGACTTGCATGGTGAGATCATGCTCTTCAGAAGTACCTGGTAGGATACTATTGTTGTGCATGACTCCAGAAATAGCGCCAATACATGGACATACAATTTTCATCATCTCTTTTCCCGACCTTGAGGCCGTTTGCTTTCGTCGTCTTGCTTTCCTAACTTTTCCACGTGTGCCATTTTACTTCTAAATGCGGAAAGGTAAAGCGGCATCATCCTATTGGGCAGTTCAAGAGGTGAACTCAGAAGGTCTGCCAGGGTTCTGCACTCTACCTCTAGATTTCAACAGGAGCGTGTAAACTCACCTTGCACTTCCTGAAGCAGCTCCATACATCCGTGGTCCCCAATAAATTGGGCATGCCATGTGTCCCAACGAAATCCGGGTTAAGGATACTCATGGTATTCCCTGGTGCTCCAAGTTACTGAGATAGTAGGCTACTGGGCGCTGCACCTATAGGGTATATAGCACCTAGAGCCCATTACTGGAGCCATGGCCTCAGCTCCTAATTTCCGCCTACATAGCACTTATAGTATTCCCCATGCATAAACCTCCCTATATAACCCCCCTCTAAACCCTAAGCCTTAAACCCTGAACCCTAAACCCTAAACAGCTTAGACTATAGCTTATTTAGGTTACTGGAGCCCTACGGAAAAACAAGCTCCCAAACCGAAAACACCGACGACCTGCCAACCTCAGCCGGCCTTTAGGATGTTCTGATTGTGTTGGGTTTTAGTTTTAGGGTTTGGGGTTTAGGGTTTAGGGTTTGGGGTTTAGGGTTTGGGGTTTAGGGTGTAGGGTTTGGGGTTTAGGGTGTGTAACAGCCTTAGTATGTATTTATAGCTACTCAATAGTAACTCTGCTAAGTAGTTTCTCAAGCCCCATAGAAGCCCTGGGGTTCACTGAAAGTACAGACTGCTCACTGTACGTCTGCACGATAAGTCTTCCAAATTCAAAGCTTTCGAGACGCAGACATCCCCCGTGCAATCTCAAGAAGTGGCCCAAAACCAGTCGAGGACACCTTAGGTTCCTGTGTAAGGGGTATTTGGGCATATAAGGGTTGTAGGATTAGGGTTGTGGATTGAGCATTTAATTAAGCTATCTGGATCTCTACCTCGAAGCAGGTAGTGGGCCAAACACCATACTTACTGGTACCCCACCTACCTAGAGTTGTATGGGATATGCATCTATGAACTTCTTGACAGGTAACTATGAGTAAGCTGTACGGATGTGGTCCCAGGCGAACTCCAAAGGGTCCATGTAGCTATGTGGTACATACTTCGGGCCCAAAGGGGCTCCCGTATACCTACTTTTGGGCCCAAGTATGTACTATCTAGCCACATGGGCCCTTTGGGACCCCTAAACCCTAAGCCCTTTGGGAACTGTGTAGTGTCAGGTCTCTACCTTTACATCAACTGGCGGCTCGAGCAGCGAGCGCCACGGCTACATTTCGGCTGTGTCTCATGGCCATGGCGTTTAGGGTTTAGGGTCACTCAAAGCTAAAGTCGTGCAGTCCCCCAACCATTTAGTGGTTACAGTAGTCCAATAAGTGGTCAAACAGGCTATTCGTAGGGGCCTTACTTTCATTAGAATTATCCCTTGTTCGCCAACAGCGTTTGGTCACTTTGCATCCCGAATCCTGAGAGCCGTAAACTGGAACTGAATTCCTACATTGAGTTATCTGGAGCCCAAAAAAAGGCCCTATCTAAACCTTATATAACCCCTATATAACCCTTTTAGCTCTCGAACAGGAGTGGGGCAGCGCCTTAGACGGTATCCGGTTCCAGCTGGCACTGAACTCGCTTATCCAGCTCGAGGTTGGGCCTGGGTTTATAGTACCCCTTAATCAATTAGATAGAATATGGGGTATGTGGGAATATTATAATGGATCCAAAGCCATATTCTATCTAGTTAAGGGGGACTATAGGGATTAGAGTTGGGGATTTGAAGGTTTCATAGGCTTCGGCGGGCCGTTCTTTAGGCAGGAGCCCGATTTTCATAGGTGGCATACACACATATGTGTATATATATATATATTACAATATAGTATATTGCAGTATGATATATATATATATATTTTTACATCAACTCTGAACTGTTTAGTTTGGGAGATCCTTGCGTTTCCATTGGCATGACTGCGTGGTTATGCAAGGCCTTCTTGTTGTTGAGGTAGAGCCGATGAGAGCTTCTCCCGCTCACTGAGGCATCCTTCCACATTGGCCAAAGCGAAGATATATGGGGGTTTCCCAAAATTAGGCGTACCGTTTTGGGGGGTCCCCATAATAAGGATCATAGTATATTGGGGTCTCCCCCTTTTTAGGGGAACTACCATATGGTTCTTCAGAAAGGGCGGTACCCTTTTTGGGGGTTCGTATCAGAAGGGTTAACAACTTCGGCTATGAATGATAGCCCCTAGTGAAAAGATCCACATGGTTCCGTTTGCTTGGTAGCACCTGACTCATGGTGGCCACGAACGTGCTCACACTAGACGATCGAGTGCATCCGACGGACCTCACCTGAAGGCACTTTGTGTTGACGTTGCGCTTAGCCTTCTATGGCCATTCGAGATGTCCCATGAGCTCGTGTTGGATTGCGATAAGTAGTATTTGAGATCCACGGAACAGGCGTTTTTTCCACGGGTTTGGAACGGAGGTCTTGCTCAGTTGATCCAAATTTCCACCATCCACCCCTAAGGACCCCATCAGAAGAACCCTCTGATCATCCCAAAAAATGAGAGCTCTGTAGTCGATAAATGGTGCTTTCCCCAGGGTTTAGGGTTTAGGGTTTAGGGTAATTTCTTGGACAACCTAATCCCTCGAAACCACATGTAAGGTGTGTTTTGCCAGATTTCCATAAACCACTACATAACTATTCTTGCCATTTCATGTTTCCTTTGGATTTCCATTTTGTTCTCCGTCATTGGGGCAACAAGACCCTAAACTCTCAAGCTCAGAACAAATGGAATGAGCCCAAAACAGAAAGACAAAGCTTCGCCTTGCACTCTGCCCAAAACTTCGGACATGAACCTCGTATAAGTCCTATAAACCCGGAACCCCTAAATCCTACACACCGCAAAAAAAGCACGCTGTCAACTTTCGAAGTCAGGAGCGTGGCCATGCTGCAGTCAATTGGCAGCCGCAGGTTCCGTTCAGGGAACCCCTGTATGATCCTTTTTTAGGGTTATATAGGGGTTATATAGGGATAGATGGAAAAGGAAAGGGAACCTACTATTTAGGGTTTCGGGTTGATGTTATGGGTTCGGGGTTGGAGTTTCTCACGGCCCTTACGGTTTGTAACCTTGGGTGTCGGGTCCCAAATACTCTTCATGAAGGGCTATATTCCATGGCAAGGAAAATTCCTTGAGTGTGAGGTTCAGAGTTCCAGTTCTGGGGCTCAACTTTTACAACGCTTGGGTGGTGGGGTTATAGTCCCGCTTGAGTATATAGAATATGGAAATGCCTAATATTGTAATCAGATCCCACATACCCCACCCATATTCTATCTACTTAAGGGGGACTATGGACTGTAGGGTTTCGGGTTCATGGCCACAATGTTCTGGGGCTTCAGTAATCGGGTTGACGTGTCTCACAGAATGCCATGATAGCATGGGGTTAAGGGTTTAGGGTCTGAACCCAAAACATTCTCGTTCAACCCTAAACCCTATTTAGTTCTTTTGCATTGTAAAGCATGGCTGCCTGGCTGAGTCATAGGATCCTGTATTTCCCCACTCCAAACCCTTTTTTCGGGGGTGGGAGAGGACTTCTGGGTAACCCCTTCTCTGAAACTGGGATCCTGTTATTCTCATATATGATACATGCAGGGTCGTTTTCCCGCATGGTGCAGGATGGAGGAGCAGATGATACATGCAGGGTCGTTTTCCCGCATGGTGAAGGATGTCGGACCGTGCTCCTCCATCCTGTGCTTGTGGCTCTAAACTCAATTCCCAAAGCCCTAGGGTTTAGGGTTTTGGGGTTTAGGGTTTTAGGGTTTAGGGGTTAGGAAATGCCCGCCAAAGCGGTAAGACATCAAGGGTTCAGGTGGCCTATGGCACCGCACTTTGCCGTCAGCGCCTCCACGGCCTGAAGAGCAAATCCTCATCCCTCAGGCATCCCTCAATCTGAAACTTGAAGGCTTAAATCCTGAGCCCAAAAGCCAAAAGAGGAAAAGAGAAACCTGGAGGTACTGATCCTGTACCGTATCCACCTCTCTGAGGACTGCACTGAGATTCCTGGGGTGTGTACTCCACAGGGTCCATGTAGGTACGTACATTGAATACAAACGGCGCAAGTAACCATAGTTTAGACTATGATATACCCAATTATGGGGCTCAAACAGGTTCCCATGGAACTGCTTTGCAGGAATATACCATGTAATTAGCTACATGAACCCTTTGGGTAACCGTGGGGACTTCTGTAAAATGATTGGCGGTATCGCAGCAAGCGACTATTCAGGGAGATCAGTTGAACGAGGAGGGGTTCCAGACGAGGATGTACAGCATGCTTGACGTCAAGAGGATTGTGGTGGGTCCGTTTTGGCTTTCCAGGCCCTTCTGATCTCAATACGCCCATCATGTGAAGAGACTCCTGCTTAGATAAAGAAGTTGAGGGTGACTTTCACGAGGTTTAACGTGTGAGGTCTAAACATATATAAGGTATTGCATGCTTTGGTGCCCTAATATAAGGTTGGTGTTGAATAAAGAGTGGCGGGTGCTGCGCTATCCGATGAGAGGTGACGCAGGCAACAGTTGTCATCAAGTGGAATGCCATAGTGATGATGCAGGGGTCTGCGTGCTTCTTATCTTTGAAACCACCTTTCTAGGGCTCTGCGCAGACTATTGACAAAGTCTGTGAACCCATGAACATCGAGCGTTACTCCAGTGAGACGTCGATTTCATCTGGGCCATACATCAAGTTGGCGGCAAGGAGTTGAAGGGGATCAAACACCATGAGATCCTCCGGCCTCTTGGCTGTTAAGTTAACTCCCCACGCAAGCATTGAAGCTGATCTACATAATTGTGAGTTTAGATGTACTGGGAGATAGACTAGCCACTTAATAAGACCGCTTTGAGGACAGTTCCTTTAAGGGGTGACTGACTTACCTTCTTTGAAGCTAAGCCCCGAACCCTCAACTCTACCCCAAACCGTGTGTGTCCTTTGTGGAATTCCATGTTGCCTTAGAGGAGGGCAGGGGAGGCCTATATTGGCAGGGGGTCCACCGCCTGAATGGTTCAGGATTTATGCGGTGTAGATTGCTGTCCATTGGCACACTACCACACCAGGGCCCCAATCGACGAATCTGTAATCTAAGATCCTGTTCCCAAGGTTCTATTCCCACCTGAAGAAGGGGAACGGTTTTGCCATTGTGGCATGCGTGTTGGAATCTGCGCGGCTCGGCAATAAGATGTTAGGGCCGCGTGTTTACCATGAAGGGAGAGGGTCATCTCCCCCGTAACTGAACAGCACACAGGCTACCACTCCTCCATCGCAGTTTGCAGCTACGTAGACTGTTTTGAGGAAGTTCTCCTAGATTAGCCACAACCGCGCCGAACACATGGGTTATCCAAAGCTTCTGAGGCCTCGTGCGTACTTGACAGAATTCAGCGGCATGTCCGTCAACCAGTGGCTTTCCCTACCCTCTGGCTCCAAATAGCCCAATGTAGGTACTATGTATAGACGTAGGGGCCGAGTGTAGGTACGATTCAAAGACCTAGAGATCCAGGGCTACTTGGAGGGTCAAGGGGGCTTCGTAAGCAAACTCACAACCCTTCACACCGTAATTCTAAGATACCTACAGTCACCCCCTATTGTTAACCTACTTTCTAAGTGCCCCTGACTCTCCAAGTGGAGCCCCAGCAACCCATAGGTTGCCATGTACCTGAGTTTATTGGTTTTAGAAATGGGTTCTAGGGGTCTCTAAGGAGATATACATATATAGGTATATGTACATATCAAATATGTACATGCGGTGTAGGGCTATGGGGTCCTTGTGCCCAAAACTGGGGAATTGGGATTTTCGACTAGTAACTAGAGTGCATGTTTTGGGTGAGAATTAGGTACTTGGACCTTCTGTTTTTTTTTTTTGACTTCTGAGTCTTGTTTGTCAAAGCCGTCAGAGACATGCGTTGCAGTCGCTGCCGTGATGGTGCACTCTTGTATTCATCAGGTACACGTGAACTGCTTCATCCCTCATACTGTGACCTACCGTTTGAGGGCCACATATGTAGGTATATAGTTGATGCTACTGCTAGACATAAGGTTAGGTACCGCAGAAAGAGGTTAGGTATAAGGGTCTACGTATCACCAAGAGAGCCGGTGTCCGAGACCTGCAATGCATCTGGACCAGAGATGACAGTCAAGAGTCCAAAACAGAACATGCATGCAAGTCGCTATGATTCCTCCTGAACCTTAAGGGCCCCCATAACCAATAATTAGGTACTTGGGATGGTACTAGTAGTTGTAGTACAGGTTTTGGGTAAGTATTTGCTTATTGAGTACTTGGACCCTTGAGGGAAGTGTAGTGTAGTCCACTGTGGCACACCAGGAACCCATAAGTTGACACAGATGCATACTTGCATACAGCTACAAGGTTCCTGAAAATAATTGTTAATTTCTGTTACCAACAATCCAAATCCTAATATTTAGCTGAAACTATAATTTCTACTGGGGTTCCAAATCCCTTAGAGACAGCAGGTCTGTGATTGCCCAGGCGGGCCACGGACTTGACACGTAAAGCTCGCTTGAAACCTACACACCTGGATTATCGCCCAGCCAAAGAACCCCTGAGTCGTAGACAAAGCAGAACCTCAGGACCCGCGACGAGCACGCGTTGCACAAAGCCGGGATTGAGAAGGATGTGATAAAGAGCATTCCGGCGGGCCTTTGGTAGAGGGCTTGTCATACTTTGCACTGCCCTCAGGGTCCAAGTACCCAGTTATTGGGTACATGGACCCTTTGGGTTGTGTTGGGTTTTTTGAGATTGCAGATTCGTGCTGTGGTTTTGAAGCTGGTCTTGCACGTTCATACGTAATTGGGACAACTTTCGTTCCAACACTTCTTGTCCAAGGACCTGTAACCGCAGGCATAATATAACCTGCATTGCGGGCTGCATCGTCAAATTATGGATCCCCTAAACCCCATATTCTACATACCCTTCATTTACTATACAACCCCCCTTGTACCCCTCTCTGTCCAAACCTTAAACCCCAAACCCTAAACCTTAAATCCCACCCCACGTATCCCTGTAAACGGATCCAAGTTCTGTCGAATTGTCTAAGTCTAAGCCCTAAACCCTAAACCCCAAACCCTAAACCCTGTACTGAAGCACTAAAAACTATACCCGGAACCCTAAAAACCAACACCCCAAACCCTATGCCCTAAATGCCATGGACAGGTCGATTTGCAGAGTTGAAGGGTGGACATCAGGCCTCAGGTAAAGTAGAGGCCCCAACAATCTCGAATCAGGGTTAAGGGTTTAGGTTTAATGTCTACAGGGTTTAGGGTTTACGGGGTAATGGAGAATCAAATGCAGAAGAACATTCAACATGAAATGAAATCTAGGTTTATGGAGGCGCCAGAAAGCCGTCGATATTATGGTTTCAGTTTCCTTGTACAATTCTGAGAGAGGATACTTCAAACAGACTTCCAGACGATGAGGGTGATTCTCTGGGGCCTTGTAGGCCTTGTAGCACGCAGCCCCCATAGGTTGCTCATAGGGTCTGACTGCCTCAGAACTTACCCTTAGCTACCTTTAACAGACTTCGCATGGAGGGCAGTGCGGACTGGCCGGAACGTCCCGGGCTGGCATCATCCTCATTTTTATCAGGTTGTTAGTTATGCTCCGGAGGGTATGTAGATCTGGACCCTGACGGTTGCAGCACTTCGTGGCTCTAAGTATGGAATGGAGACATGGATCAAACCCTAAACCCTAAACTACAGTAGCCGTGTGTGACGCGCCAAAACGTAGCAGTTCCAGCTTTTGTTTCTTCTGCATTGCTTCATTCTCTAGCTCTCTACTAACATCCAGTTTACCCTTGGGGTTTTGGGTTTGGGATGCTTGGATTTCGGTACTGATTAGTAGTTGTCGTACGGGTTTTGAGTAATGCTTACTGAAAAATCGAAGCCCTCACCCAGGCATCATGAAAGAAGAGAGCATTCAGGGCTTTGCTGAGTGTGTCGTCGCTCCCTCTTGGTCAGAGGGTGTGTGCCCGGCCTGCAAAATAGAAAGGTAGGTTTCAACAGTTGTGGCAAAGAAATCATGAATATGTGTTTGTTTTCCCCCCGCCTGCCCTATATGGTTCCTATGAAGGCATAAGAATTCCAGTTTACCAGGGTTTCCAGACCTACTCCAGTGTTGCGCAAGTCCAGTGTGGGGGATTCAGACATGACCTCTCGGAGGGTCAGAGAGACTTACTGTGGTGGGAAGTGGAGGAGGAGCGGACAAGGATTGGAACTACAGTAATACATCGGTTGGGGTTAAGGGCAATTGGCCAAGGAGCCTTAGAACAAGGTTTTTTTTTTTTTTTTTTT